TTCTATTTGGAAGTATATTCCTTCTGAGAGCAATCCCGCCGATTGCGCTTCACGGGGTATAATGCCACAACGATTGATAAATCATCACATGTGGTGGAATGGCCCCCCTTTTCTGAGTATTCCGCGTGACGAGTGGCACTTCGATATTGATAAATGCTCTCATGCGGAAACGGAACTGGAGGTTCAACAGGAAGAAAAATATTTAGTTCACTCCAGTGCGGTAATTACCAATATGGTAGATCGCTTGTTAGAGCGTTTCTCATCTCTTACTTACATCCAACGAATCTTGGGATACACTTCTCGCTTTATACATAATTGTCGTCATCCTACTGACAAACATTCAGGATCTCTTACTTCTAAAGAATTGCGCGCGTCTTTAATGTACTTGGTAAAACATGTCCAAACCCACAACTTCGGCAACTGACTTGAGAAACTTCAGAAAAATCAACTATTGCCAAAACCATTCCGTAGGCTTGCGCTTTTTCTGGACCGAGATGGTTTCCTGAGGGTGGGCGGCCGAATTCGAAATTCTAATTTGCCATTTTCGGCAAAACATCCTTTATTATTACCCCGGTCCCATCGCCTAACCGCTTTAATTATTGAAGCGAATCACCGCAAATATTTACACCCTGGATCAAAAACATTGCATTATTTATTACTACAACAGTATTGGATTTTATCCGCACGTAGGGCAATCCAGGAAACTCTGGCAAAATGTGTGCAATGTTTTAAAGTTAAACCTAAGTCTTACACCCCTTTTATGGGTGACTTACCGTTTCATAGAATTTCCTCCCTTAAAGCATTTTCTCATGTCTCCCTTGATTATTGCGGTCCTTTTTTTATTACAATGTGTCGGAGGCGCGGTTTGAAGGCAAACAAAGCTTACGTTTGTGTTTTTGTGTGTAATGCCACCAAGGCGGTGCATTTAGAAGTCGTTTCGGACTTATCGGCGGAAGCCTTTATAGCGGCTTTTAGAAGATTCGTAGCGCGTCGCGGTTGCGTCTCTCATGTTTATAGCGATAATGCTACCAACTTTGTTGGAGCGCATAATATATTTATCAAAAATGCACGTTTAGCCGCTCAAGAATTAGAAATTCAATGGCATTTTAGTCCCCCTTCCGGGCCCCATTTTAATGGGCTCGCCGAAGCAGGTGTTAAATCGATTAAAACCCATCTACTTAGAGTAGTTGGAGAACAGCGACTCAGTTTAGAAGAGTTTTCTACATTGCTGTGCCAAATAGAATCGCTACTTAATTCCCGACCGATCTGCTCCCATAGCACCGATCCTAATGATGTTTCATCATTAACCCCTGGTCATTTTTTAACGATAGATCCATTAAATTCCATACCGGATCCTGACATATCTCATTTAAAATTAAACACCTTAAATCGCTGGCAATTTCTACAACGGCTACATGCTGAATTTTGGAAACGGTGGCATGTGGAATATTTGAATACTTTACAACAGCGTTCAAAATGGTTAGATCCGGGTAACCCGATTAAGCTCAATACTTTGGTTCTTATTAAAGATGATTGCAAACCACCTTTACAATGGTCTTTAGGACGCGTTATTGCTCTTCACCCTGGTGAAGATGGCCATGTTAGGGTGGTTACCGTAAAAACGGCAAAGGGTATTTTGCGTAGACCCATCGGTAAACTTTGCCCTTTACCAATTAATTAATTAAAAGTTTTTTTTTGTTTTTTTTTTTGTGATTTGCTTTAAGTAGTAATTTCTTGTTATTTTCAAAATTATTTAGTTAAACACTCTTCGTGTTGGTGGGCGGAATGTTCATGCAAGAATAACTATTTTTTTTTTTCCATTCAATTCAAAATGAATTTTATTTTGATATACATAAAACGATTCGGTTATGGGTAATGGTACCCAAAACTCCTTGACGTGTGCGTGCGGTGCGCAAGAACGTTCCTACCATGTTTTGAACAGAAGATACCTACAACATAGAGAAAAGTCGTCCGCGTAGAGCTACAAGTGTGATTAGTTTGGGGCCCATTACAACGTCGTCAATCAAAGAAAGGTAGGTGCCATGCCCATTTAATAATTGCAATCGTTTTTTTTTTCGTTAATTTGTTCATTTAATTTTCTACATGTTGGGCAACAGTTTTACAGCCCATTAGCACTTATTCTTGTTGCGCTAACAAACAGATTTAGCGGCAATTTTATTGGTTTGGATTCATATCTGTCTGTATTAGAAAGGTCTCTATACCCTTTCGGTAAGGAATAGTAGCAAATGTAACAGTAGGCAATTTGAATTAAAAATGCAACATGCAACTTCAATGTATTAAGGAGGCAAATGATCTGCTCTTTTTAGCGCATTTTCCAACGAAGTTGGTTGCGCTATTGCAGCCACTTTCCTCGTCCGTCCGTCTGTTCCCGAGACCTTAACTACTCATAAATAGTTTTTCAAAGGTTAATTAAGTTCGCTCTTTTTGCATTCGGTAGCGTAATAGCTCTAGCACCTGAGCCAAGGAAATCTTAGAAAATGCGCAATGTCGACTTCCTTATTTATTATTGACTAGCTGACCCGACGGACGTTGTCCTCTTTCTTAGCTATGAATACCTATTCAATTCGGACTGGAATAAATAATCACAAAAAATTATTTAAAAAAATTTGCTGTGGCTAGCACAGGTACCACCCGCCCCACCTGCGCATGCGTGATTTTGCCCTTTTATGTCTAAGAATATGTGCAGCAAATTTGGTTTAAATCGGTTCAACCGTTTAGCCGGAAAAGAGATTTTGACACACTTGCCCCAAAATCTCCCCATCTCTCCCCAAAATAATAAAAAATAAACGCACTCACTTCTACGTTGCTTTTGGCGATTCAGAGCTAGCAACGTACCTTTTTTTTGCTGCGCCAAATGCCGTAATTTGAAAACAATTGTTTTATTTCTGAATATCCCCCAATATGAGTAAAAAATGTATAGAATCTGGCCCATTTCCGGAAACCAAGGAATGTAGTGGCTCTGGTGGCGGTACCAATGGCGTCAATTTCGCTTGGCCACTGGCGCAACATAATTCCGGGGCTTCAGTTTTAAACTTAAAAGCCTTGCAATGTGGACACACAAAGTTCATTGGTCTAATATGATTTACTGTAAACTGTAATCGATTGTTACGTTGTAATTAAATGCAGCTCGATAGGGATTAAAGGGGACATTTCTGCGTTGTTCATATCGATTTCGTTAACTTCGTTTTCCGCTTCGCTGTGCTCGTCAGTTTGACTTACTCGTATATACCGGGTGGTGCACGGTAAGTAGGAACATAGGGATTTAACATGGGAAATTAGTTTTATGCAATATCCTGCCCTCCTGTACATTTTACAGAAAAAACTGTAGAGTTTAAAGTTGTTCAGAATTAAAAGGTGCATACAAAACTGTTTTTACATGTTTTTATTAAGCTTTTGGTATACCCCCAAATTTAAAAATAAATTACAACATTTCTGTTATTAGTAGCAATTCATAAAACAACAAAAGTCGTGCTATGTTAAATCCCTATGTTGCTTACTTACGCGTGCACCACCCGGTATGTTTTGAACTTGTAGGAATTATGATTCTGCCGCTAAATTGGTACTATGTTGGTACGTCAATAAGTATGCATCTTGAAAAAAAACTAAAATTCAACTGAAAATAGAAATTGACTGGCTTAGTGTTTCTGTATACCTATAGTGTGTAAACCCACGTGTTTAGTCTATCAACATACTAAATCACAGAGTTGTATATAAGTAAATAGAGAGGCAGTACATACGACCTGCGCGTGGAAAAATAACTCCAACTACAGTGGCCGACTTTTAATGGCGGAGCCGTTGGGACTCATGCGCAGTGCGTGAAAGGGAATCAGCACGATTTTTGGGTGCATTCAGTTACATAATCACAAAACAAAACAGCAATAACTTTTCAGATGCTTCAGATTCATTTGTAAACAGACGGTTTGGAGTAATAATTTAAGCATGCCCATTACATTATACTCTTTACCGCCATTTCAATGTTTAGTAGGCGACGATCTGTACATAAATAAAGGATATTTTAAAATGCTCCTGGAAAAGTGCAAGAAAAGATCAAATATATGGGTGGAAGGAAAACTCTTCGCAAGCAATTGTTGAAATTGGTTTTCGATACAAGAAGTGTCGGGACAAACGTAGGTTGGTAATGGAAAGAAGTGACATTGTAGTATGGCCTCGAGTATGGCATCTCGTTATTTAAGAAGATTAAAAGAAAATGAACAACCTGAATGTGACAAGAAACCCGTTATATACTTGGACGAAACCTATATTCACCCATCGTACGGAGTGAGTAAATGCTAACAATCAGATGAAGTATCGGAAGTTTATAATAGGGCTGGTCAGAGGACATCGTAGTATGCTTGTAGTCGTTCTGGTTTTGTAGAGGATGTCGCACAGTAAATCGGGGGATTATTACGATGATATGAATCATACCAACTTTATGCAGTGGTTGGACAAGCAGCTTATACCAAATTTACCAGCAAACTCACGTACCTTATTAGTGTTCAAATAAATAAGTCACCAACAATGAATAATCGTAAGGAAGTGATACGTTCTTGGTTAGAAGCAAATATCATTCCTACGAGAAATGAATTTATTGACAATGTACAATTTATTGTGAACACCGGCAGTTCCGATGATGATTAGTGGTCAAGTGACGATAATGAATGAAAAAAGTTAAAGATTGTGTGTTAATTTAGTCAATGTGAGTGTTATTAATTTCAATGTGATTGTTTCAATAACTGTCCATATTTACACAGCAGAAGTGCATCAGAATTGTAAATTGTGTTGAACATGAACATCTAACAATCTTAAATGTGTTTACGTTTTGTAGAAATAAAATTATTAATTTGACTGTTTCCCCTTGAAGTAATGCAACTCATATCGCGTGGCCCACTTATTTATATTTAGTAGAGTCAAATTTTGCATGAGAATGTACAGTCTAAATTTCCAACGTCCTCGGACACGCCCTGTCAGGAACCTTCTGAGCGTGGTGCCACTGTACATACCCTCTGCCGATGCTCCATTTTTGAGATATTTGAGTTATTGGCATTTGAGTTTGTCCGACTTTGTGGCTACCCGTATTCAAACTGTGTTTTCGGCATTGCACACCTGAAATTTTGTCCCGCACCAAAATAAAATTTCAACTTATTTTATTCTTTCATTGCTATTTTTATACTCACTGAGTGCATAAATAGATCTTTAAACTCGATCGCACGACAAATATACGATTTCCTTTATACCAGAATCTCAAAAATCTTTTCTCGATTCTGATGTTGTAAGCCCCTTACCAGCTTTGTATTGTAGTCTACTGTATTAAAAGTTCTTAACGACTGTAATGTTTCTTATTTATTCAAGACAGTGTTAAAAATATCATTCACCACACATTGAATTTCTTTTCAATTTTTGTTGCAATGAAAAACCATATTATTCTCAAGCCGAACCTGCTTTAAGGATCATTTAATTTGAAGCCGGTTCTGTTGTCGTTTACTGCGCACACTCACCAACGGCCTGCGCAAGGTTCAATTGGAGTCAATTTTTCGCTATAAGACTGTCTCTCTATTTACTTATATACAACTCTGTGGGAAGGCACACGCTTTCCCGGTTGTTTTTTTTTTTATTATTCTTGATTATTTTGGGTGATGGTGTTTTGAAGGTGTATTTACATCAGGTAGTAACCATTTTATTCTTTCTTGTACTAGCTATTTAACCATTGAATGCTTGCCACAATTTGATATTATTTACATTTTGCTGATTTTGCATAAACTACGATATCTGAATCATGGCGTACTCCATGCCTTTGTTTTAAGTACCGTTAGATGAATCGTGTTTGTAATACTGTACAGATGATTATGTCATTATTTTGTTTAATTAAGTATTTACCTACTTCTGTTATTCATGAGGAGTTGAGTATCGGTGTGATGTTGCTCTGTTCGATTGACCCGTAACTATTCCGTGAGGGAAGTACCTAATACAGTTTGATGGTTCGCTGTATCTGTTACTTGCTGATTCGTGGCGCGCTGCATTTCTGTGCGTTAGCTATACGAAAGGGGAGCTCTCTTATTTGATGTTTCGATGTTTGCGTGTGCGAGTGGGTTATTCTGTCTCCGTGGAGTAGGTACCTAATGCAGTTAGATCTTTCGCTGTATCTGTTACCTGCTCGGCTCATGCAGGCTGCATTTCTGTGTCTCGCAATATGAGATGGGGGCCCTCTCAGTAACATTTCCTCTATTTAAAATATGTTCTGTTTGAGCGATAATCGATTTTCACATGAATACTTGCTATTGACCAATGGCATTCTCACATGTACTTTTCGTGGTAAATTAAATTATGTTAACTGAAGGATGGAGTAGAGCTTATTTGATGAGTTGTATTATCTCTATTGATCGTACAGGTATTTTGATGTGTTTTTGTACTGAATTGATTTATCATTTTTTCCACTGCATTTATGATGTCTTGTGAATTTTGATTTTATGAACTTGTTTAATTGCATTTGATTTGATTATCTGATTTTTATCATACCATTTGCGATGTTTTATTTATGTGTATTTTCTCTTGCATTTTATTGCTGTAGGTGATTTATTTCATGTATTTGTGTGACCTTTGCCAGGGTTTTAGTGCCGTAGAAGGTTTCCCTGGCATGGTCTTGTGTGTGCGTTAATATATTTA